ACAGTAAGCAGCATCCACTGCATGCGAACAACTAGGTATTTCTCTGCTAAAAGAAAACTCGTCCAGGCAGCTTACTATTCTCCGTAACTCCAGACATTGCTAAAGTAAACGCAGATACAGTGGACAACTTTTTTTTTGCCTGCGATAGTATTCTGAGCCTACGTTCAGAAAAAAACCTTATGAAAGAGGCAAAAATGAGACCAGGACTCGAATCAAATAGCAAGCGGTGAGTGCTTCGGCTGTTGAATTCCTCATTCGATACATTACAAATCCGGCAGCGATCTTTTGGCCACCGATACATCTTAATAAATGCCAATGCACGCCGTCTGTTCGTTGAATCTACAAATTGAAGCAGTCGATAAGGTACAGCTAGGAGAGGAATTGCTTTCCAAAGGCAAGAAGTTCTAGGAAGTTTCACTTTGTAGATTTAGTGCAGTTCAATTGCTTTTATAAGTCATTGGTACTGATCGTACCGACTAATATTTTCGACAGTAATAGATACTAGTGAAATACCAAGAATATCAAGCCTGCGTCACTGATGGGATGCTCCTAACGCAAGACGCAAATAGTCCAGGTCCTTCGATTCTAAGCAGCATACCCTCTTCGTCCTTCAGATATTACTCACTGCTTGTTCGATGCATATACCTGTTAGATGTAGTTGTGATACTGCTCAGAGACTGCTAAAGCCAAGGGTTCTCAATCTTTTTTCACCGAGGCTCCTTTTTTAAGTGATTTTTGCTGCTGAGGCCTCACTTTTCAAATACCTTTTGCTGCCGTTGTCCAGTGACATTTAATTGAAGACTGCATCAAATATTTATTTCAGAATTTTCTCACGAAAGGTCTTCAAATTTGGTAAGACGGGGAAATGAGCCAGTCTGTTAATACACATACACCTATTATGATACCTCTGTTGCAACACTTCTGATTGAATTTAAAATGATATATCATCAACGCCCATCTCGCTCGAATGGCGATTTCATGGTGCTCTAGTGTGTTAATCGCAAAAATCTGTTGCCGATTTATACATTGAAATTTGACGAAAATTTAATGCGATTCTTCTCACTTCGCCCCTTGTTTGTCTGTCTTCGCGATCCCGCAATGACATCTCACCTGGGGAGCCGCAGGCTCCAAGTTGGGAACCGCAGGCCTAATTAATCGTAAATTTCCTCGTAATTTTTGCACTGCATCAGTGATGCGAAAGTGCATTCAGGTGAAATTCGTTACGACTGTGTGTATATGGGTATGTGTACGTTTTTCTGCTTGCCTGAACACAAAATTCAATTTTGAAATTGTGAAAAT